TTACGAGACAGTCATTTATGTGTATTTATTCGTATTATCTTAATTCAATAAAATCACATCTTTTGGGGGCATATGATATATTTAATTTTTTTTTAATTAAATTTTATAAAAAAAAAAATACAAGGGCCAGGGCCGGCCCTGGCCCTTATGGACTAGGGCTACGGACCAGTTCTGGCCTTGAGAGTTTCTCCTTAGGCCTGGCCCTGCACTGTGCGGGCCGTGCCAGGCACGGCCCAGGTCCGCTACGGGCTTGGGGTCGGACGTGCCGTGCCGGCCCAGCACGACACATTTGACAACTCTACTAGGACCCAACACATGGGCGACGAGAATTCCGTTTACTGAAGTTATAAAAAAAATTGTATTTGAAAAAAAAAACAAATAAATAACTAAAATAGTGAGTGTAAACTACAACACGACAATGTTTGAAAGATGCTGACTTTAAGATCAATTCAACAGTATTTCGTTGGTCACATAACGTTATATTAAAAATTAGATGTCTTAATTTTTTTATTAGCAAAAGCGATAAAATTAGAAAAGAAAAATCAAGAAGATATTAGTGGCTCATTTTTAATATTAGAGCTACATTTACTGTCCACTATTATGAAACTTCACTATGACGAAGAAGAATATAAAAAAATAATAATAATAATAATCAAATTCTAGACTCTCTATTTCTATGATTTTGTTTTCTAACTTCTCTCACCGCATAAAATTCCCCATCTTAAATATTGTTACAAGGGTAACCAAATGTTCTAATGTGACGTCTCCAATATATCATCATCATGAAAACATATTTTCGATACAATTTGGCGTGAATGGCTCTGCTCCTAGCATCTCCAAAGACGATTCACGTGCTACCTATGTATTAGAGTAATAATTAGACCCCCACAAATGCAACAGTATCCATATTGGGGAAATTTATGTTTCCCCATTATGTGGGCAACATTATTTACGTTTCCTTATTCGATTATAATAAGCTTTTATTAAGTCATCTAATTATGAGAAGTTCATAAATTTTTATTAGATATGAGTTTAATATTTGGCTACTCAATACTGATTTAATTAAATTTAATGAGACTATAATAGAAAAATATATAAGGATATTATAAGTTATAGTTTTTAAGACGTCAAATCATTATACAACTTTCCTATCTATCTCATCTAGAGCGAAAGAACGCATTGAAGAATTAAGAAGAGTTAACTGAAGAAAACAATAACCCGTTCATCCAGCATCATTATTATTCAACTAAAAAGTTAGTTAATTGATGTTGCCATGGATACAAGTATTTATTATCATTATAGAATCTTTATAATCTGGCATGGCCTGATTTGATTCTAAGAATGTGTTCTTGTTCTAGGGTTCTACAGAATTAAGGATATCTAGATTAAAGATTTCTAACAATCCATTCATCAAAAAAAGAAAGTGCCTCTTCAGAAATAAATACACCTCGTCTGATATAATTTAATAACTAAAAAAAAAAAAGAAAAAAAAAGATGGGAATCAGTAGAAATAGAGCCCGTTTAGTTCGCTGATTCGAATTGAGATGTAATTTTATGTGATAATTTTTTACTGTAATAAAAAAATTAAATATAACTGTTTTTAAAATTTATTTATTATAATAAAATTCAAATTTTAAACTCGTACAGTAAACGGGATCATAGTTTATTGCAGCCCGGCCCTTTAATAACTGGGTCAATTCGTGTATAGCCAGCACCCATGACGGCGAGCTCTTAATTGAAAAAGTCTACACGGACAGGCCAATCTGAAGAACACTAGCCCATTAATACAAAGTTGAAAGAAGACCGTCAGAAAAACAAAACAAAAACAAAACAAAAAAAAAAAAACCATTTTTTTTTGTTTTTGCTGAACCATAATAATAGTGATTATAAAACTTGTTTATCATTATTGTTACTTTCCCAAGTCTTCCACACGAAAACTCTAATGTGACAACACTAAAACTAGAGTCTAAAAAAATTTGCAAACACGCATAGTTCCATTTGCTTACTAGGAGACACACCAACTTGTCGCACATTAAAATAATAATAATAAAAATAATAACAAAAAATAACCTTGCCCACCAAAGTTAACTTTCCAGGATCTGAATTGACATGCCATTGACCAGAAAGATGGGCCCAAGAGGTGGACATCCATCAATAGTTTGCGAAGAATTTGATATCATTTCATTTTTTTTAAAATTTTTTATGCCGTATAAAAGTGGGAATGGCCTTTTTAGCAAAGCACAATCAAGGGTCCATTTAGTTCGTTAATTTGAGTTTTTAATTTGAGTTGAGATGTGATTTTATGTGAGAGTTTTTTACTGTAGCGAAAAAGTTAGATGTGACTGTTTCTGAGAGTTTTTTACTGTAGCAAACTCGAATTCTAAACTCAAATCAGCGAAATGAACGAGGCACGAGTAACTCACAAATCAGTTCGGATAATCAAGAAATTGACAACAAATGACTTTGAGCTCTCTAACAAGTCACAACCAACTGTTATAACTTGTAAGCTCCATAACACGTTAGAAATAAAAACTTTGTGAGTTGTAATAATAAATCTATGTCAGATTTTCCTCCCACACGGTTTTCCAGCTACGAAATCTTTACATTTAAGCAAGAATAATCGAACAAGCCCTAAGAAATGTACTTATGAAATCAGAATCCCATTAAAAATGGGGTGAAAAAAAAAAAAGAAAAGAAAAGAAGAGAATCCCATTAAAAGGGCTCTAAGAAAAGCATAAAACGGGTCTACCTTAAGTGAAAGTGCCCAACTAGTTCTTCCCCATGAAAATGGTGGAGGCCCAAAATTGCATGTGTCTTCAGCCCAGTTAATAATCATAAATCATATGTAATCTGACAATGTGTAGGCTCAAAGTAGCACAAATTTAAGACCCGGTTTTTCTCTACTCGAGAAGACTCTTTATCGTGGCCCAGGGACCTACTAGTCCAAAAGTTGTGTATTTTTTCCCTTTTCAAATGGAAAGTGGCGGAAAATTGAAATGTTGAAACTCTTATAACAAATTATAGGGTAACTTGCATCATTGTTCGTAGAACTTTTGTATTTGGAAAAAGTTGCCTTGAACCAAATATTCTGATAATTAATATTAATATCCTGTATTTAATTAAATTTTTTTTTATATTTTTATATTTTTTTATTTGTTTACAAATCACTCCAAATTGCTAATGCCTAATGGTCATTTTTTTATGAATGGAATCAAGACATGCAATGACATAAGCCGTTTATGAGGAGGAAATTTTCAAAATTTAAAAAGATTTATCATGCCCCTAAATTTTTCGTGATTTGCTCATGCCAATAAGTTCGAGGAGTTGTTTGTCATAATATTAAGTTAGATGCAACTTGCCAAAACATGATAAATTCAGGGGCAATGGTGCAAAAAATAAAAGAAAAAGAAAAATAAATAGGCTTGTTTAGCATCACTTTCATTATTTCACATGTTTACGTTAGTTTATAAATGACTTTTATTTTTAAAAGTGAAAAGAATAGTGGAGATTTTCTTAAGCAACACTTCATTTCACTTTAATATATATGAAAAAAGAAAAGGAAAAAAAAAAAAAACTTGATTCCACTTTTTTGTTTATAAAAGCGGAAAAAAGGGAAAAAAAATGAAAAGAAAAAAGAAATTATAAATAGGAATAACCATTGCCCTGTAACTTCACTTACTTTACTAGACCACCGGTTATAACATCTCTGTTGGAAATGTTCGAGGACTCTATGCTCCTCTAGGGCTAACTAATATTTGATTAACACTAGAAGGGAAAACAATGGGACTAGAAAATAAACTTCATCTTTCAGCCCAAAAAAAAAAAAAAAAAACCCACCTCATCTCATAAACTTAAAAATAAATTTATCATAAAAAAAAAGAAAAAGTGAGAGAGAATTCCAAAGAGATAGAGAGCGCGGAAGAAGAAGAATAATCCATGCGCTCTGCGGACCGATTTACACGATGATGGAGTCTGTGCCGGTGTTTTATTCTTTTTTTTAGTTGTTCGTAGAGTAAAGGCAGTTTTTCTACCGGTATTGGTGTTAATTTTCCCTACAAATCGCTAGATCTTTGTGGACAAATAAATTTATCTGGTAATATCAAACATGTGGGGCTCCATGTCTGGTTTGGTTTACATCACGAGCAGCCTGCCAAGAATCACAAGAAGCTTCCCAAGCCCACTTCCCCCCTCCTTTTTTTTTTTCCTTTTTTTTTTTAACCCTTTTGCCCTGCGGTTTGAGTCACGCCCCAGTTGGGCATGGAGACCAGCCCCATTCTGTCAGCCTAATATTAATAATTAATAGAATCTCAGAAGTGATAACCATGCACTCCCATTTGCTTAATTAATCTGTCCTAAGCCTGTGATAATATTCGTGAACCAATGTGATTGCATTTACAGGCTTAGCATAACAGTAAATCCACACCCGCCTCTAGGCGAGGTCGAATCCCTATCCCAAATTCTAAAAAAAAAAAAAAAAAAAAAAAAAGCATCCAATAGTATTGACATAGTGATACAGTTCAGCACAAGGTAAAGACAAGGCATTTCTTTGCATAGAGATTGAGAATTGAGATTAAGAAAACTGCCATGACAGAGAGAGATAGAGAGATAAAGACGTAAAAGACAAAGCAATACCGTAGTGTATTTCATCTCTCACTATCTTGTTTGTCCGTAATATAGGCTGATAAACGCCTTCATTTACACTACTCACCGGTCACCATGCATGTCACATGCCCATCTGGGCCTCCCTCCTCATTCCTTTCCCATGTGCTTTACCTCTACCTAGAAATGTACCTCTTCCCCCCTTTTAACCAAAATAAACAAATCTTATTATTATTATTATTATTTTGGTTTGATCATTTTTTTTTTCCTTGTTTAGCAGTTTAGTACTTTTGCTGCAATTTTCTGCAACTATCAGAGTCTCTTCGAGAAAATCTATGATTAACTTCCTTTATTGAATCTCTCTACTTAAGGTTGTACAGAAACGAATTGAAAATCAAATCTGAGAACTCCAAAAGTATATATTATGATGATGATAATAAACAAGTTAAAAAAAAAAAACTTGAACAAACACTTTTCCAGATATACAGTCCCAAAAATATATATTTTTTTCTTTTTATACATTCAAAAATGCCAGATTCCTCTAAACATACTCCTGAATCTGTTTGTGGACAACTTCCTGACCAGTTTCTTGGCGTCATAAACCTCTGCCTCAGCAAGCTTCTCAACGTTCTTGAGATGCCCAGAACTCGAAATCTTCCTTCTCCCACTGTGGCTACTAGTCAACGACATAAGTATTGAAAGTAACAACTTTCTGTTGCCCGAGTTTTCCTTTTCCGGATCAAGCAATTGGAGAATCAGGCCAATGTTTCTGTCGTCCTGCGCAAATCTTTTTCTGTTTCTGGGCACCAAAACCATTCCCGACAATGCCTCAACGGCCATTTCACGAACTTCAAACGACTTGGAATCCAGAAACTTGACGAGCTCTTGCATGAACCCGGCGTCGCCCAACGCTTTCTTCGCTTCCTCCGATGTCCCCGAGAGCCTCACGGCGATTTTTAGCGCCAATTCTTGGACTGAGACTTCCCCATTTCGTAGGAAGAAGATGAGGTGATCCACAAACGAGTAATTCAGCAGAATCCCAACTAAACTATTTGAAGCGAAACACATATTTTGTATTGCTCTAAGTGCCGTTTCTCGGGTTTTCGAGCTGCAAGGCGATCGAGGCTCGATGACTCGCAACAATGCTCGAATCCCGCCTTCTTTGACGACCATTTCCCGGATTACTTCGTCCCCGAAGGTGATGTTGTTAAGCAATTCTATGGAGTTTATCTGAACAGTCTCGTCCTTGGACCGAGCAAGCTTGGTGAACGTCGAAATCGCGCCTTCTTCTGCCATGAACCGCCGCATTTCCTCGACTCCTGTGAGATTCTTCAGCACTCCGCAGGCCGGGCCGATCAATTCGGCTCGGCAGTCGGGTAAAGAGCATATCTTGAGCAGCGCCGTGACTCCTCCGTGGGCCGAAACCGACCAGGCGTTGTCGGAATTCTCGGTGAGTTTCATCAAACACCTGGCGGACGCTTCCTTCCCGGGCTCATTCCCGCTCTCCAGAACCCGAACCAACGGCGCGATTGCCCCCGCTCCGATCAAAACATTCTTGCACGAATCGAAACCGGCGATCACCGACATCACCTTCGCCGATCCTTCCTGGATTTCCGTCTCCGGCGAATCGAGAAAGTTCGCGATAACGTTAACGACGTCCCCGAGCTCGGCAATAGCGTTGACGTACTTCTCGTCCTCGGTCACAGCCAAATGCAGATTCATCAAAGCCTGTCGCTTCATCTCCGAATCTCCAATCTTCATCCTCGTCACCAAATCCCTGACGTAAAACCTCATATCCTCCCTGCAAGCTCCGAAGTTCGGCCGCGAGACGACGAGCGCGAATCCGACGGTCAAAATCCCGGCGTCGTAGATTTCCGAGAGCCTCTTGGAGTGGGCATCGAATTTCGACGAAATCACGTCCAAATCGCTCTGCATCAGAAGCTTCCCACTGTAGGAGAAATCCACGCAGCGACGGGCGAGATCGTAGCACTCTGTGATCGTCACCATGAGGTTGAGAACGAGCTCTCTGATCACCGGATTGTCATCGGAGTCGCAATTCTCGACGGCGATGAGGCCGCCGTTCAGGTCCTCGAGCTTGCTCCGAATCGATTGCCATTTGGCGGCGAAGACTTTGATGGAATGGGAAAGCGATATCAACGACGATAAGAATTCTATGGTTTGCCGGAGACTGGAATGTCGTTTCTCTTGTTCTTCTACTTCTCCTCCCATAGTTGTCGTTTTCTCACTGAATATTTAGACGCAAACCCATTATTATTTTCCGGCCGATTGAGAATTTACCCAGAAAACATTGGGGAACAGAATGGAATCTGAGGTTGTGATCTTTTCTTATCAAGAACAGGAGGAAGGTTTTTTCTTTTCTTTTCTTTTCTCTTCTCTTATTCTGACATGGGTTTTCTCTGTACTTATCCACAGTATTGGATTTTTATTATTAATTTACATGAATGCCCTTACCAGAGTCAACTGTATTAGTAAAGGGTCAATTTTACCACAGTCCAGTTAGGAGGGGTATCACTGTCATTTGAATATGTGAAAAGGGCCGTTGGGACTTGGGACTCGGGAGTTGCAAACGTATTTAAGGAAGGGCTAGGATGAGAGTGCAAAAAAAAAAAAAAAAAAAAGGAAGGGGTATGCTGTAATTTTTTATTTTTTTTTAGATTGTGTAATTTTTTCATTCCATTTTGCGTTTTTTGTGTTAAAAAATTTTCAAGTTTTATCCACTTTTCAAGTTGTGAATAAAGAAATGGCATACTATTTAGTGAATAAAACGGAAAAACAGAAGTGTTATTAAAACTTAAAAGCAATGCTAACATTGTTTAATGAGTATACACTATTTTTTTAATGCAACTTTGGAGTGGAAGTTATTAATTAGTTTGCTCGTTTGTCATGCTATTGGTTTGTTCAGTCAGCAACTTTTCTCCTCCAATTACTGATCCAAAAAAGAAACAAAATCTTGTTAAATTGTCCGTTTATACGGGGAAATACTATTTTTTTTTTTTTTTGCATTTATTATATATATATCTTTTATTATTAAGAGAACAATTTTTTATAAAAGTGGAAATTTCAGTCTTCTTAAAAAAGTTGGATGGCCAATTGAATTTGGCCAGGCTCATTTATGAAGAGTAACGTGTTGGAATTTAGCACTTGTACTTTAGGGGGAAAAGGGCATAAAAGAAAAGGGCATTTTGGTTAATTTAAACTTTTCGTATTTCTCAAGGTAATGACTAATGAGACTGAAAATAATTGAGTGAGTGTTTGGCTTTTGCTCAAATGCAAGGTTCATTAGAACCTTTTTTTTTTTTTTTAAAAAGTTTGACATAATAATATATGCTTTGTAGTGTGGTCGATATCGTGAAAAGAACAACATCCATATTAGGACAAACAACTCACATTTATCTTGCCCCTAGATGAATGTTTAACTGCATGAAACAGTGAAGGCTTTTCTCAATTCTATAATTTGCAATAGACTTTTTTGTTTTTTGTTTTGTTTTTTTTCTGGAATTCGCAAGAGACGGATTACTTCTCACAAGAACCGGAGAGAGAGAGAGATGGAAGGGGAAACATATTCCAGTTGTTAATTACATCTATAGTTCACCTCTTTAGGTTTTTTTTTTTTTTTTCCCCCTTTTTTTTTTTTTTTTTTTTTTTTTTTTTTTTTTTTTACTTGTAGCTGTTTTTTATTTTTGATCCATTCAATTATAGATGATGAAATTATATATATGTATATATATACATACATATATATACATATATAACAACATGATAGTAGAAAGAGGAGGGATTATCACTCCATGACTCTCTCATCTATCAGAGGTCCGATTATTTGGGTTCGTAATCAGTTTTCTAAAATAGTTTAGTTTTGTGTTGATGTCCGTGGATTTTTGGATTTATTGACGAGAGCGTCCATTCTACCTATAATCTTCATATATTTTGAAAGTAAAAAAAATAAAATAATAATAATAATAATAATAATAATAATAATAATGACAAATTTTATAAATTCCTTATAAATTTTGTCACTCGTGTCAATATACCTTTTAAATTTTAAAATATATCTGTTAAGTCCTTCAAAATATGATATATCTCTAACTTTTTCTCTTCATCTTGATTCTATCAATTTTTTAAACGAAAATATTGATATGACCATTAAATTGCTAATTAGTTATAATATTTGAGGTTTGTTGAATGTCTTTCCCTTTAAAAATATTTGTTAGGCAACAATCCTCAAAACATTAGTTGAATAGAGACAATAAAGAAGGTAAAATGAAGAGAGAATCTATTTAAGGTGATGGTTCCCTTTTTTCATTGGAATAGGTTTATTAAATTATTAGGTTTCTTAATATAGATGATAGGTTCTTTCTTAAATTTTGTACTACATGTTTGTGTTTGTTTTGTTAGGATGAAGATTTTTTTCTTAAGGTTTGTTAAGTTAATAGGTTTCTTAAGGTTTGTGTTGAATACTTAAAAAAAAGATAAGAAAAAGACGTGAGTGTATTTAGATTTTAAAATGCTATATATGTATAAATTATAAATGTGTTTTATGTCGAATACTTCTATCTAGATTAAATAATATAAGTTAAGAAAAAAACTAACAAAACCTATTACATTATACAGATTTGCTCATTTTTTTCCTCTTTATTGTCTCTAATCAACTAATGTTTTGAGAATTGGTACTTAACTAATACTTTTGGAGGGGAAGTCATTCAATAAACCCTAAATATTATGACTATTTAGCAATTTAATGATCATATCAACATTTATATTTAAAAAATTGATAGAATCAAGATGAAGGCCAAGAAAAGTTGGAGACATATAATATTTCGGGGAGCACAATGGGACCATTTTAAAATTCAAGGGGCATATTGACACTAGTGACAAAATTTAAGGGGCGTTTATAAGCATATCTGTTAAAAAAACTTAACGAAATTATAATCAATGAGCATACATTGATATAAGCAACAAAGTTCAGGGAGCATAACATATACATTTTAAAATTCAGGAGGCGTGTTGATATAAGTTTAGGGTGAACTTATAAAATTTATCCTAACAATAATTTAAGACGTGAAACTACTAATTATATTCACGTGTCAACCTAATTTCATTCACCCACGTATAAAAGTGATCAAAGATCGATGCGTTGTCTTCAAGACTTTGGGGCTTGTTGCGAAAGTTCCTATGCTTGGGAACTTTATTAACACTTTAACTCTTACTTTACATGAACTTTTTACTTTGTAGGAAGTCACTCAGATACTAATCTCCAAGGTTTTCTTTACTTCAGCAAGTGCTGTTTAAAAAGGCTATTAATTGAGTTGCTTAGTAGAAGAAGCAAGAGCAAAACTAAAAGGAAGAGACAAAAACAGTGATATTAGTATCTTAAGTGAGAAAACTCAAGTTCATATGGACCACTCCAGTAATAAGAACTCTATACTTTTATTAGGTGAAAAGGAGAGGCAAACAAAAAAAAAAAAAAAAAAAAGTAGCTTTCGATGCCCTTAGCATGGAGATAACATGGCTCCCACCCACCATGTGAAGCCCTTTTTATTAGATGCCTTGATCCAGCAGTCACCTTTTGCGTATAGGAAGTGGGGTGAATTTCCAATATATACCACTCAAAAAGGGGGCAAAACGGAAAAAAAAAAAATTTCTTTTTTTTTTTTAATGGCGACGTGGAAAAAAAAAAAAAAAAAAATTAAGCCATAAGCAAGCTAGCCTTCCCTTACCAGGAAAATCTTAAAAGGGGAATATTGAAAGCTATTGACAGATTGATCCCACTATTCCTACCTTCAATATGTAAAGAATTAGAGGATGATATTATCACGGTCAAGAGCTTATTGTATAAATATCGTTAAAACAAAAGCATTACACATGCTAAAACCGCAGATAATGACAAATTAATGAGATGAGAAAGAAAGAAAATGAACGGCTCATATGACATTATTAGTTGCGTCTCAAACTGTCTTATTAGAAGACGAAGTGCCCATTATTCTGCCACTCACGGATTCTCATTCTGTTATGTTATCTTTTTTTCTGTTGGATCAGAGTATGCTTTGGATTTGAACACCAACCGTTTAAGGATGATTTGGTTTTAATTATTCTTAAAGTGAGTTAGTAAACTTTTGGTTTGTTCCGGCTTTTTTTTTTTTTCACTTGGGAAAGGTCGGCGCTAATTCTTTTTCTTTGTCCTCTTTAAAAGTTTTAATGAATATATATGTTCAGTTATAAATATTCCATAGGCCTCACTGCTTTTGCCGACTTATCCTCCATCAGAAAAACGATTTGTTGCATAACAGATACATCGCACAACTGTGTTGTTCATCTATACTAATCAGTACTCCGTGTATAATTAGATCTGCACATGGCCTCAAATACTCATGGTTGGAGACTACACATTATTTACACGTTTTACCACGTGTGTATGCACACATTCACTTTATGAGAAATAATTTATTATCGGGATTTTTTTTTAGAGCTAAGTGAGAGATTTGAACTTTAGACATCTCGACATTATAAGTGTTAAGTTATGGAGTCTAATTATCATCACGTAACATAAGAAGTACGTAAAAGTTTCCTTCTTAGAGGATCAGGGTGGAAAACCTAAATTTTACTAAGAATATGTTTCATTTAAGGTACTTTAGGCATTTTATATTTGTAATTTGGGTTGCCCTATTTTTTTTTTTTTAATGAATAGGGACACCATCGTTAGGATTAATTAAAAAGGTGTGTGATTTTCTTTATGAAAATGCAAAAAGATTGAGAGGTGTGCAATTTTCTCTCGTAAGCTTTTTGATCATTATAGCGACTAACAGAAGATATAGTCTAACATTAAAATGAACCTCTGTAAATCTCACACGTTCAAGTTCGTTTATTTAATTTCTTTAATTATTTTATTACTCTCAATAAAATGTAAAATTAACTAAGCAGTATAATTTTTAATAACAAACATCGGTGCGAATTCACCACCAGACTATATCTGCAACCACAAATATTATTGAAGTTTGATGAGTAGTAATTAATTGAATATTATTTTTGTAATAGTGATATCTGAAGTTATATCCTGAACAATTATGTTTTTGGCAACACATTTAGGATGATGAGCTTGTAATAATGACGACTAATAATTTGCTCATTTGTTGAGCAGATTGATATTTGCAAATTTTTTTTATTGTTGGGCACATATAGATCAGGGTCACTGTGGAGCTAATATTATGGGTAACCTCCTAAAGATGAGTCTATATATATGCTTTGTTGGTTTGTTATATTAATGCTTATGAAGAGGTGTTAGGTACAAAACGCCATTTGTATGCAAAGGCAAGAAAGTGATGGCTGGGGACACCTTTGAGTGTAGAAGAAGGGATATTCATGAATGCAGATCAATAACAGTACTTACTATGAAACTTAGCTTTGAAGAGATCAAAACTACATGATATGGCAATACTTCGTCTTGATTCATTCCAAAGAGGGTTGGCCAATATGACCCTAAATGAAACAAAATTATAAGACAGAATATAATAACATATAAAAACATTGTAATATATATGATGCAGTCTTGTGTTTGTCTGTCACAAGTAGGTGGCGGTCAAAATGATCCGAGACTTCAAAGTTAGTTCAAAACGTTATGACTCATGATAAGCAAGTTTCTTATATATATGTGCAGTGTTGAGAGAGTCATATTCATATTGCCCGTCCCATAATATATACAACGATATTGAATTAGTTCCGATATATGACAAATTTGTTGAACATATAGTAGCTTAAACTTGATTCGTTCACGTTGGATTTGCAAATCTAGATGCTGTGTGCACATGGATCATAGAAGTGATGTTTCAAAAGCCTGGCAGTCACGGTTTCGTTGTCTTTATCTCTGATACGCAACTCTCCTAAAACACTTTTGCTCTCCAATTGATATCTGTTTTTGACTAGACCTCACTAAAAGGAGACAAAGTAACAAACGCAGTAGAGATCCCATGCATGTATATATTTCGGAGTTATCTGATGTGTTACGTGTACTTCAAGTCAATGAAATTAAAACGTTGAAGGTAAACAAAAATCAGAACAATATATTTATTTATTCGATGCCCATTTTTCATGCTTTTAGATGGATCTATTTACAAAATATATATTTTTATTTATTTATTTTTTTGCTAGTTACAAAAGGAGATTATTGGTGTCATTCCCACCAACTTTTCCTGCATTTATAGAAGAAATTATAAGGACACATCGACTCGATTCTACTAAAAGGATGAACTCAATTTCTATGGATACCCAACACCGTAGAGCCTATTAACCAAGTAAGACCTTCTATATTGAGATTGCCAAGAGTCGAACCTTAGAACAGCATCGGAGAAGAACAATAAAAGACATGTGGTTTCAAAACATTCTACTTTTTGCTGAATTCCAAGAAATTCTACTAATTGTATCTTTGGTTTTACAACTTATTTGGAAGAAAATAATTGTGCCCAAACGACTGAATATGGTTATTATTAGCTAGGAATTCGAAATATGCCACGGCTTTTCTCTTAGACATGATCATGATTTAATAGGGTTGTTCTGGGATTAGGCACAAGTGTGTTAATTTGTTTCTATAGAAGCGTGATAGAAAGTACCCGAGAAGTCTTGATGGTGAAGACTAATTATCTCACCAAACCAACCATAAAGTTATTATAACAACTTCATAAAGGCTTGAAAAATGAGAGAATTTTTTCAAGTAAAATTATGGCCAAAGTTTAGATCCTAGGACCCCACAAAATCTTATAATTATTATTGTAATATGATTAAACCTCCTCCAAACTTCTCAATCAAAGACTAAATCAAAAGCACCTGATTAAACCGAAAATAAATAAAAGCGCCATTTGTTCATATCTTTCATAATTGTTGTTTTAGTTCTCATATTGGAAAATGATGGTAGTAAAGCACAGATATTGACACTCCAAACCCGACTAACAAAGCCAACACCACACTTTTTTTTCCTTCATATAATGAAACCCTAATTATAAGCATAGAGGAGCGACACATAATCAGATAATATCAAATCAAAGACAATGCGTTGATCCCGCGTGGCATATAGATTCCTCATTAAGTAGCTTGCTCATATATCGTGCCCATCATAGTGAGACTAACTCGAATCCAATTGAACGCATACTAGGACACGGCATCCTAAGCGAACACGTATATACTGAAGGGACCAAAACCTCTCTTTAATGGGTCAGCATGCAGTACTTCCACACCTCTTTGCACGCATGATTTGGAAATATTGTATTTGACACACAATTGACAAATCGACATGCATGTTGCACGCTTCAGGCTCAGCCTAATATGGGTGCTAGGCCCGTTTAGTTCGCTGATTCGAATTTTTAATTCGAGTTAAGATGTGACTTTATGTAAGAGCTTTTTATTGTAATAAAAAAGTAAGATGTGACTGTTTCTAATAATTTTTTACTGTAATAAAACTTAAATTTTAAACTCGAATCGGTGAAATAAACGGACCGTAACGTACAGATTCCTTGGTGTGTACAAATCTCGAACACAGATCAGCAGACCAGACCAGCCTAACTATGCATTTGCCAGCAGTGTGGCGTGGCCCATCAGAAATCACATGTGGACTAAGGGCCCATCAAAATCTTAAGCGGAAACTCAGATAGACACAAGAAAATTGTTTGTTATTTCTTTTTCGCAGGAGTAGTAACTATTTTCCCGTCCCAAAAAAAAAAAGTAGTAACTATTTTTGTTTAAAAAAAAAGAGTAGTAGTAACTACTTTTTGTTAATAAAAAAAAAACGTAATAGTAGTAAATAACATATATTTAAACGGGTTTTAAGTAAACAACAAATTTTTTAAACGATTGTATTTACCAATAAAATATTTACTTCAATCATCACATAAATATGTTATTTACTTGTTTGCCTCTTTATCGCGAAAGCGGGAAAGAAAAAAAAAACCACATATGGAAATATAATTTAGAAGGGAAATGACTCGGAACAAATCATGTTACGAATTGTGATGACATATTTTATTTTGTTCGTACTTATTAAGACAGCAAGATGGAGTACGACCAAATTTAAGTTCATATCTTAAGGAAAAATTAAAGAAATCTATTAACAAAGTACTCAATCGGCCTAAGTATTCAACTTAGTTAGTGTAAATAATTAATGTGATAATACCCAAAACACTCCTTAAGTTTTATTTAAATATCATTTTATTCATCTTATTATGCAAATATCCAAAAAACTCTCTATATTTACAAAAACAAACTCAAAATACCCCGAAAGCGATTAAATTTTAAAAATATCAAGATTGTCTTTTCCCATCTTTACTAAATGCTATTTTAGATATGATTTAAATGAAAAATTAAATTAAAGATTTAAAAGTGTTCAAGCAAATATTCCAATCAATCAAATATATTTTCAATTACTTTAAGAGTTTTTATCTTTTAAGATTGATTTTATTTAATATTTTAATTTAATGTGTTAAACTTTAATTAATATAGATTGAGAAAGGTAATCTCAGTATTTTTAAGAATTTAATTGCTTAATGGGTATTTTGAGTCTGATTTTAAAAATATATGGAGCATTTTGGGCATTTATATAATGAAACTAAGAGGCAAAAATCATATTTAAACAAAACATAGGGATGTTTTTGAGTATTTTCTTATATGATTTGACTTGAAAAGAATATTCCTTTTCTTTTCTTTTTCGTTTTATTTTTGGGAGTGAATCCAATCAATGAGAAGATTCAACAAAACAAAAGCGTTATACAAACAGACAACTTATTTTTCAACAACCTGATCAGCTTTATCCAAGGAAACTCAAGAGTAGTAATCCAGCCACAAGCATTTACATCCCACATCTCAAAAGATAAAAGTGGACCCTCTATTATTTCTCTCTTTTGCCTTGGCTTTCTCCTAAAATATTGCATTTTAATTTGCACAACCACGCCAATTATATGGGTCCAGCTTCAGTACGTCTTCTATAATCTGTATGCACGGCCATTTAATCCTTTGGTGATCACCAAAACTAGGCTTAAAGACACATAGACCCTCTTGTTGAACTTCCTTTTCCATTTTTGTCCCTCCTTCAAGGCCATCCATAGCAAAGTCGATCACTACTTTCTCTCTCTTCAGTCATGTTAGAGGGCAAAGCAGTCGTTGGCGAGACTGACATGCTGCAAGCGATGCAGGAAGACGCGCTTCACTTGGCTGCGAAGGCGCTCGACGTATTTGATGTCAATGAGACTACTAATATAGCCCACTTAATTAAGAAGGTGAGTGAATTATGTTGCACTTACAGTATTACTATTATTTTTTCAAGGATTAGGCAGGCCCCTTTAAATTTTCATTTTTCACCTCTTCTTCTATGTAGTAGTGTTGAGTTGTTTTCCTTGTGATGGCAGGATTTTGATGAGGCGTACGGACATGGGTGGCAATGCATAGTGGGAACGGATTTCGGGTCCTTTGTGACGCACCGCCAGGGCTTTTTCATCTACTTCTGCGTTGGCAGCCTCGCATTCTTGCTCTTCAGGGTCGCAGTTAATTCAGAAGCGGATGCCATCTTGCACCCTGCCATTGAGGCTGTGAATACATAAAGCTGTGTTTGTATCTTTATTTAGCTTGTTTATTGTTGTCATGGTTCGTCATTGAAAAACGGATAATCTAAAGAACGAATTCCGAGTAGCAATTTCCCATCTTTCTTCCCTTTTCACCTTCCATCTTATTCAGTTGTATTAAGGCTTCAAATCATAATTCCAGTGTCTTTATGTGGAAAGGTTTGCTATCTGCATAAGAATTTGGTAACAAAATCTGCTATTATGAACTGGTGAGATAATAACTAGCACTTCACAGAAAAGGGTCCTAGACACAAAAATTGTGCTGGAAAATTGGGGAAATGGTAAAAAGAAACTTGGAACTACATATGCCAAAGCCCATGATGATTAATCTGCCACATTAGTTTAGTTTAATGCTGATTAACGAAATATTAATTTGGTCTATGCTTTTTCGTGAAACCAAAACTAATCAAGTTACCATGACAAAGGTACCTCAATACCAATAACCATTTCCAAGTTCAAATTCAAGTTGTCACAGAAAAATCTAGAAGCATTTGTGTGCCAGTGTGTCTCAGAGAGAGAGAGAGAGAGAGAGAGAGAATACCATGCGTTTTAGAAACTTCAGAGGGTGAGAACAAAAGGAGGAGCATCCCTTCTGGGCCCAGCAACAGAACGGTAGACATAAACTTTGTTAGCCTGGCTATCTTCACTCCCTTCTTCCTTGATTACTTCAACATTCAGCCGAGGCATCTCTCTGGCCAACAGGCGACATCCGTTCATTGTGACATTGCAGGCTGACATCCACAGTGACCTCATAGATTCATACTTCTCTAAGCCCGAAAGCAAAGCCACATTCCCAAATGGGCAGTCCCTAATCTCAAGTTTCCTCAACTTTGGACAACCATTCAGCACACACTGCATCCCCCAATCACTGCTACCCGCGAAGGCCACTGAAAGTGTTTCCAAATTCTTGGCATACTTTCCAATATACTCGAACGTTAAGTCAGTCAACAAACCTGAAACCGCAAGCCTCTGGAGCTGAGTGCAGGTCTTCACCACTGCACCAAAGGCCTCATCCATAGGCTCATTTGTTAAGTAATCCGGTTGGCCAGGGTCCATTATGCAGAGACGGAAGTGGGTAAAATCAGGACAGTTCTTCACAATGGTTGCCACCGCGGCATTAGTCATCTGCCGGCAAAAGAAGAGAACGTAATGAAGCCTCCGGCAGCCATAAGAGACTGCAAGAAATCCTGATTCTGTCACTCCATGGATGATCTCCTGATCAAAAGGATCATAAGGAAAAACACGGAGCTCCTCAAGTAAAGGACAGTGTGATCCAACTGCCTCTAGACCTTTGTCTTCCACTGTGTCAAGAACCTGTATCGAGAGATTGCCATAAAACCACAATATCAGCTTAATTTACTATCATTGCCACACTACAAATAATTGAGTAATGGACTATGAGATGGAAGTGAAATGAACTCATAAGATATGAAATTCAGAATCTACCCAAAGGCGCCGAAGACGTGGACAATGAACCAGAAGACTTGCAAATTCACCACTCCCCAAAGCCGCATAGCTCAAATTGAGGAAAGTTAAATTTGTGCATGCAGGATATAGAACTGGGAGATACAAGGCTTTAGCTTCCCACAAACCTGAGAGTGTGTGTAGATTCTTGCAATTGCTGAAGGCATTTTCAAGCTCCGAATGCTGATTGGCAGTGAGCTCTTGCGTGAAAGTTCCACTACCAAGCTCCACTAGTTGAGGAGCATGACTGATCAGCTTCTGTAATTGCTCCAAGTTTATACTTTTGTTAACCTTCAAGACTTTGAACGATTTGCACCTACTAACAAGTCTCTCAAGACAATCAAAGTTGACTTCACTGTTAAGGTTGGCAAAGTTTAGTATTTCCAGTGATGTGAAGTTCTCTGGGAAGCAACTCAACCAGCTGCCACTTCTGTCTTCCACGTCATTCTCCTGTATGTCTAGCTCAACCAAATTCCTGTACCAAAATTTTTGTCCTTTGGTTTTTAGTTTTAAACAGAAAATTTCAAATTTCTCATAAGAGAAAACACAATAATATCAAAAAGATTTAAACTGTGATTCAAACCACTGAAACAAGCGCACCGTTATTTTCCTTATGTCCTAAGTGTAGGATTGGGTTTATTCCTAATGAACTTAATGACACATGTATTGTTTCATCATCACTGCCAGGTAGAATTGATTTTAATGTTTTTGTACTTTTAGATCAGATTTTATTATGCACTTTTTATTAAAGAAATTGTAATTATATGTATTCTTACTCCGTACGTGTGTATTATGATTGTATTGTATGAAATAAATGTTAGAATTTTCGTTTGAGGGTGTCAATCAATCATCAAGGATAGATAACTCCTTTAAAAGCTTCCAATAATTAGCTTAAACGTCACGTCAAAGAAAATGAACTGTGAAACTGTGAAAGGATATTGTATGCAAAGTAGAAGCATACCGTTATAATCTTGCATTAACCAAATGCTATGACTGCTTTTTTTTTTCACCTTTTTAAGTAACTTAAACCTAATAAACTATGTGGCATTATATATGAACTGACCCGTAGATATTATTGGAGGAACATGAAGATGTTGGATTAAATGTGAACCGATCGGCTTATCAGATATTATTAGATAAATATGAAAAAAGAAAATACAGGAGTCGAATAAAATAAAACAAAAAAAAAATTACGGAGAATTGGCAGAACCCTTAATCTGAAAAATACCGATGACATTTGAGATGAGAATTTTTAGATTTCTTTCAGTGTTTATCAATGCCTAATTATGTACTTCTCAAGTTGTAATTTTTCTCAATCGAGATGAGTAAATTATAAGTACTGCTAATATTTCTGAGATCTCAAACCTTAACATCACTTTGATTACAAATGGAGTCAACAAATTAAGACAATGAGAGAGAGAAAGAGAGAGGAGCACTAACTTGCAATGAGTGGCAATGGCGGCGATCCCATCGGTGCTGAAGCCATCACAGCTGAGAAGCGAAATGGCTCTGAAATTAGGGAAATAACTCGCGAGAAACTCCAAGCTCTCATCAGAAACGGTCATCCTCTTGAGCCGTAGCTCCTCTAGAAAGGGATACTTGTCAGCGAAAGCCGCCAGCCAGGCGTGGACATCGGCGCCCCAATTCGGTGGCACCAGGTTGAAGTCGGAGAACCGCGGCTTCCCCTTGAGCGTCACGCTCCGGATGTTCGGGAACCGCCGCGTGACGATCTCCGGCGACACCGAGTAGCAGTTTCCGATGAAGACGCGGGCCCGCGACCACCGCTCCGCGTTGAACCAGTCCTTGCACACCAGCGACGCTGCGCTCCTGTCCTTGTGCGACTTTATCATCCCCACCACTCTCTCCAACACCTCGTCCGGAAAAGTCCCCGCAGCTTCCTTCTTCCTCTTGGCCTCCTTCATTGGAGATTTTGTCAACCTTAATTCTTCATCCCAGAATTTGCTTCTTCAGCTGTTGGGAAGAGCAAACAATGAGAGAAAATTGGAAAAGATTCGAATTTTACTATGAACTCTGTCGCACATTCACAGAGAGAAGTGAGGAAAGTTTGGAGACAAAGAAGACAAGCTTAGAGTAGCCAACCGTAGTAGAGGAAAAGGTGAGCTGATGGGAAATTAGTGATGATTTGAGTTGTTAATTGTATTTTTATGTATTGATTAAAATATTGATGATGGTAGATTAATAAGTTTTTAGATGTTTTTAGTCCCATTTTTTGCTTATTTGAGTTTAGAATATAAATTTTATTATAATAAAAAAATTTTAAAAATAATCACATTTAATTTTTTTATTATAATAAAAAAATTTTACATAATATTATATTTTAACTCAAATTAAAAATTTAAATTAGCGAAACAAACGGGCTAAGCTTGTCTGTTCACATCAGATTGGGTCAATTGATATGTGCATGGCAAGCTCAGTGGAGCCCAACAAGAGCCCAGAAGATTGTAGCCCCCCCAATACCTAACGTGTTCTTGGTGCGCATTGCGCATCAACCTTTTTCACCAGGGAAAAGCAAATTGTACATGAAAAAAAACAGTACGTATATAATGTAGGTGAGAAAATTTGAGAGTAAATTGAGAGAAAGAGATGACCCTTTTTTTTTTTTTTTTTTTTTTTTTTGTGTTGGTATGATTTCTCCTAATCACTTTGTACTGAAACTTGGAAGAGATAAGAATTGCGTTCCTTCGAAATTTGTGAAATCTCATATCCAATTTATTCTCTTTTTTTTTTCTTTATTACCAAACAATGACGGGATCTAAATTTTTTTTGTTTTTTTTTTACTAATTCTCTGACCCTTTTTTCTTTTGGGGTTTTTCTTCCTACCAAATAAGCTATTAAAGTTGAGTGCAAATTAACACCTTAATATGTGTTTGAGAAAAGAATTGTTCTTGTGTGATGGGATAGAAGAATTCATTATCAGAAGTATACGATATAACAAACTTGAACATTGATTGTGATTTGTGTGAGAGAATAAAATTGGAATTGTAAAATAAAGGACTCTTTTAGAATATGTTTCAAAATAATTTTGTTTTTTTTTTTTGTATAAAAATAAAAAATAATAACGTTTTTAATTTTAGTCAGAAATTATTTTTTAAAATACGATTGATAGTTTTATTGAGAGATTATTTTCAGTATAAGAAAAAATTAAAACTCTATTTACTTAAACATTTTTAATAGCATCTAATAGTATTTTAAATAATATATTAAATAAATAATAAAATCTCAAATCAGTTATGAAAATAAGAGGGAGGAGAAAATAATATAAATCCCAAATCAATAATGTATTAAATAAGACATTCTGTTAAAGGAAAGAGGGAGGAAAAAATAAAAATAAGAAATTAAAAATGATTAAAAGTTATTTTTAAAAAGACTTTCATTTTACGAGTAACTAAAAAGGTGTTTTCGTTTTTATTTTTTATTCAATCTTCCTCCAAACAACATTTTGTGCTCATTTTCATTTTTTTCTCTTCAAAAAACGTGAAAATTGTTTCTAGAAACATTTTTAAACAAGCACAAAATGATACAATAACACCATTAATAGAAGGAAAAAAGAGAAAAATATGTCAAGACTTGATATGAATTAAAATTAATAGGCTAATAGTTTACATAAGTTAATAAATATGCCAAATTACTGTTTTTATCCATAATTTGTCTGGTTATGAATCATAACTTGACAAGTTATTGTCCATAATTCACGGTTTTTATCCATAACTTATATGGCTATGAACCATAACTTGACAAGTTTATCCATAACTTATCTGGTTATGAACCATAACTTGACAAGTTATGGCCTATTAATTTTTATAATTAAAAATTTACCTATATACTTTCTTAAACTTTTCATATTGACATATTTTCTACTATTTCCGTTAATTAGAAATAGAACGTGCAGTGCTTCAAAACCATCGGATTCATTTGTAGTTAATAAGTTTTACTGTCTTTGTAATATTAGGTCTTGACAGAATAAATAGACATGCTAATATATGTACATTGAATTATTTTTATCTAACATGACGCAAAGTTTAACTTAATCTGTTCATATCTTTTTGTGTCAAGTTTAAAAAAACAAAAAAAAAAAATCTTTAGCACAATGCAAGCTTGCATTATTTCACTCATCCTCTTTCAAAATTTTTCTTTAGTAGTTACATAAAATCAATGGAATAAAATTAACTTGCACTGTTTCAAAGTGACAATCTTGTGTAGAAAATCAAAGTAAGCGGTACAAACTGTAATTTCTAAAAATAAAGTTTATTTGTCAAAAATGTCAGCTATACACGTTAAAACTAGTAAAAGTCTGCCGCGTTGCTGCAGAAAATACTGTTGTATTATATAAAAAGTTAAAAATTTTTATAATATAAAAAAAATTGACACAAAATGGTGGTAAAACGGACAAAATTAAACTCTAAATCAATTCAAAATTATAAATAACTATAATAAAGAATAAAATTTTTAAAAATACACTGGAAATGGTTTGAAACTGTCAAATCAAAAATTTAGACGACTGTAATTTACGCGCGCAAGAAAAGAGCGTTCAACAGGAGAAGAGAACAACTTCGCAGTGGTGGGCCCCATCACTTTTTTTCGACCATCCGGGAGTCGGCACGAGGCAATCCTAGATTAAAAGACGCAAAAACCCGTGTACAAAGAAAGAAAAAGAGAATAAAAAAAATAAAATTAATAATTCACACTCAAAAGACACGAAATATAAGTAGAATTTTAAAAATGTTACTTTACAATAATGAATAATAAAATTGTGAGAATGTGAATAGTGAATCTTTCATTTCTTTTAGTATATATAATAATGGGGTTATGTGCATATTTATCGTTAGATTATACATAAACAACTTTTTTATACGAAACTGAGCTGGCAACTGATTAATGAGAAAAATAATCAAATGCACGTGATTTATCACGTGATTCTCTTTTAACCGCACTAATCCGGTTCATGTAATCTGGTCGAAACACTACTAAGATAAAAATATGAAGCATCTAATGCACACACTGCCCGAATCTCTATAATTAAATATAATGATATGATTATTAAGCTCCATCTCTCGATGCAGCTTTTAATAATAGCATAATATCTATTCTAATAAATTGATGTTTACCAGCTGGACATCAATTTCTCTCCCAGTTTAGCTGGAGACACGTGGCCTTCTTCTTTTCTATTTGTTTTTAATGTACTTTTTTTTTTCTTTCATGGCGCTGAGACAGTAAAATTTTTCTTAACAAATTTAATAGAATATTATTATAAAAGAGTTTTTTTAGTATGATTAAAAAAAATGAATTACTTATAATGTTTTATATTCAACCGTTTAACCTCTATTAAAAACAGTTATTTTATATATATATTTTTTAATTTAACATAATTTTAATTAAATATAATTATTAAAAATTAACTCTACCGATAAAAGGACACCTCCCTCATTATAATATAAAATTAAACAAATTGTATTAACTGTAGTTGTAATAATTATCGTTATCTAAAAAAATAAGAAAGCACACAATAATAATGTTGATTTCTACTAAATAAGAGATCAGATCACCATGAATCACTTCAATAATGTTTATTACAAAAATGTTTAAGGTTGATATACCTATCAAAAGGAAAAGAAAAAAATACATATATATATATATATATATATATATATTGCGAACTTGAACACGATAATAGTCTTTTTAACTGCCACATCTGTATTTGAAATAAGCCTCAAGCTTGTACACTTTTTAGTTGGCCTCCAAATGTAACATAATTGAAGGTTTGTAACTTTTTTACCCTTTTAGATTGTGTGGTTTATTTCACAAATTTAAGTTTTTAATTTTAATTTTATAACTAAAAGCTCTCAAAAAGTCACATTTTTCTGCTACAGTTAATCTCATATAAAGTCATATCTCAGTTTGAATTTAAAACGTCACATTTCGGTTTGCATTGAAGTGAAATTATAACCGGAGAGATTTTCAAAGGGAAAAGAATTATAATGAGATCAAGAAAAATGGAGGCAATTACGAAGGCTCTTTTCCTGGCTTAGATTTTTTACTGATCATTCATCACTATATACATGTTGATGATGAAAGATCGTCGAACAATATGAATTTATGTACGACCTCATTGAGAGAATTCAAAGAATAGAATGGTAAGAATTGCGTCCATTATGGTGATACTCATAGGGGTTTTAGTTTTCACTTTCAAGAAAAAAGTACTCTGAATGCTTGAATGACTAACTTAAAGGGTTTCCTATGGATGCAGCCACGATTTTATACCCTACTATTAGATAAGTAAAAATCTATGAACAAATAAGTAAATAATATTGAGTAATTTTTGTTGGATTTATTCTTGATTCAGCTAACTTAGAAGTGCATTCTTATCATTTGTTTGATTTGAATGTGTGAATCTTTCGGAGAATAAGCATACAATTCTTGGGATTTTGACCACTGAAGAGAAACTATGATAAAACATTAGTTACTGCTAAAATGACCAAGTGGATAATGCAAAGGAGCTCATATCGGCTTCGGTTGAACATATACATCAATAAGATTTTAGTAAATAAGTAAAACAAAATGGAAAGTTAACAATAGTATTAAGATTATTAATTGCATTTTCACTTGGATGCCCGTGAAAAACCACAGCTTACAAGGAATGGAATCATCTCCGACATTTTCTTTTAAGGTGTCCCACATTTGTTGTCTGTTGACATGGTCATTTCCCCGTCAACAAAGAAGACAAATCAATTCCGCCCAAACCTTGAATATGAAAGGGCAAAACCTTCTTTAAGCTATGCTAACAAGCAATAACATTGTGTATGTTTACATAGCGATTTTCTTTTAATGCTATAATTATTTTAGATTATTTTTCCAACATTTCCACGTCAGTTATTAAAAAGTGGAGTAGTGTAGAAATGCATCAGTACTATCATTGGGCAATTGGACTGTGTGATCACGTTGATCATCCACTGGTGGGGTGGCCCCTATCTCAAACCCTTTAATTTTTTTTTCCTTTACTTTTTATTTTCTTCCCATCTCCAATTGGTGGGCAAAAGTTAAGTGGGTACAAAGACGCAATGATCTCGT